TCCCCATTTCAACAGATAAGAAATTTAACGGTCACAATATATAAACAAATTTGCCTTTTAAACTATTCATTAAATTTTTAAATCAATTATTGTACATTTACTCTTATAAATAAAATTAAAAAACACATAAATATATATTTCTAATAATATTGTATTGCTTATTATACAATAACTATATTTAATATAATTTAAATGTAAGTATAATTTAAATATCCTTTTTTTGTAAAATATAATTTATAGAGAAACTTTAAAAATAGTGAAACAAAAAAAACATGGGATTCGAACCGTGATCCACGTCGTGATATATCGAACGCTTTAACACTTAGCCATCACGCACTATTAATGTCAGCCTCAATAATTTCGGCACTTATGTTATATTTACATAAGATGTGTTAATATTTTTCTAAATTAAAATTATCATTTTACCACTCTTTTTATGATTAATATATTTTTAGTTTTAAGAATGAAAAAGGGAAAAACAATTTTTAATATACAGATCTCTTAGATTATATTATTGTAAAAAGATGTATATTTTATTGTGCATAACATTTATAATAAGATTACAAAAACATACAGAAAAGTTATCTGAAATTATTAATCTGAAAAATTGTCTCTATTCTACAATCGTCTTAAATAAAATTCAATTTACTAAGAAGTTTATATATATAATTTTTTCTGTGTTTTTATATTTCGAGAATAGCATATATTCTATACACATATGTATTTATATATAAACAAACTTATTTCATTAATAGCATTGATGTTTATAATATATGCTTCAATAAAAAAGAAATCACGCAGCTAAAAAAAATACAAATTGTAGATGTAGCACGAACATGAATCAAAATTGACTGTTTTATCGGCACCAAAAGTGGATGAGGCCATGTAGCTCCCAGGCAGCGTAAAATGGATATACATACGCACCGCTAGTGTACGACGTAGGGAAAGCGCTCCCTGAAAAACGGCAGCGTGGTCCCTCTCAGGCTTCTCTCTGATTATACTAAAAAATTATCGATTTGCATCTTTTTCATTTTTATTTGATTAAGATTAGGTGGATTAAACTTTGTAAATGCCGGAACGTTGCACAAATCTGTGTAAAATTTGTGCTAGCGTAACGAAAACGAGCGTAAAGTCTGTAATTGGCCAAGCTCTTTTACGCCGTACACCAATACGTCATACGCTGTTCCATGGGACTGCACCTTAAGAAGATTTGCGATTGGTCTTCATCATAACCTACGCGTCTCGAAAAGTACGCATGATGAAGGGGGAACGTCCCGTTTGCTCACATCCCGATTGACTACAACCAATTATATCGACCTGTGCCTAGGGTAACCAGCAACGATTAACCAATCAGAGAGTCCTATTTTGAATTGGCCAATTGGCGACGTGAGCAATCGAATCCCGTCTATCATGGGGAACCAATGCTCTGCATACAAGTATGTGAAGCGAAATGTGTGCAATATTTATAAAGTTATAAAAATTGAAGTATATATTTACTTCAATCTTTTTAACTTTAAAACAGTACATGTGTTCTTAAGGCCGTTAAGGACGATCGGTGGCGGAGAAATGGGGAGCACTTCTCCATTGAAAAGAGAAAGAAACTCATCTTACATCTTTTGTTTTTCTTTTCTTATGCTTAACGCTTATACACTGGGTGCTCGGTGTATACTTACTATGTCTATGATGATAGACTATGTCTATGATGACCAGTAGGCTCACCATTCAAAAAAATATTAATTAAATCTATTATTAATCTTGTATTAATCCTAATTGTTAATAATTTAGTTAAAATTAAAATTTAAAGTTATAATTTGAATAATAGTATTTACATATTTAGAAAGTAATTCAGAAGTTTTAATCCACAGAAAAGTATATAATAATGGATCCTAACTTAATATTAATAATTATTTGGAAACGATGGCAAAAGTGAAAGAAGATTTGATTATTATTCATATTTTATTAAAACATTTTGATGTCTCTTCAACCTCTCACACAACAATATGACTTCTAAAAGTACTCTTAAAGAGTTCTCACGTAAGATTTAGACATCCGAATATATCTTTTGAAAGAAGACTTAATGACTTCAGAAAGTAATTTAATGTGCCACTTTAAGAAATAAGTAAGACTTTGTAACGAACGATTTTCCCGGTTATCGCGCGGTATCATCAATTTGCGGATAGTCGTCGGATCCAGGTACAAATAATAAAATACGTGTGTATGTAACTAGTACTAAAACGAGAGTGTTTATTGAGTTTGCATGTAGTGTACAAGTGTGTGTGTGTGTGTGTGTGCGTGTGCGTGTGTGTGTGTGTGTGCGTGCGTGCGTGTGTGTGTGCGTGTGTGATGTGTATAACATTCGTGTGCAAACGATTATGCGGTAATCAAAAACGGCTTTAATTTCGGTCTCGATATTAGACGCCGGCCGGTGTTTACGAAGCGCGAGACGGCGCGAGTTTTTGCGGCGCTTTTTCTGCGGGCAATTCCGATGCTCCGAGAATTCTTAGATTCTCGGAATCGACGGTTATTTTCGCGGGACTGTTTATTCCCCGGCGCGATTTAAAGTCCGCGTTCGATATATTCGGTCTATGCGCTTTAATAACGGCGGCGGATGACGTGATTTTATAATACGCGGAGCGCTTAAAATGTCGGTATCGGTAACAACAAAAGAATAGAATGTATGCGCTTGACGGTAACAGATAAATGCGCTCGGCGGTAACAATAAGGTATGCGCTCGACGGTAACAATAAATGTATGCGCTGCGTGTGCGGTATAGGAGCGGGTCGCGAAGGATGGTTTATGCGTATGCAGCTGGATCGGTATCTCCCGATCCGGGGCGGTTCAGAGCTTCACCTTCCGTGAGGGTTTCAGCTGCGGATCAGGCGGATTGCACTTTTTGGCATCGGAATCGAGAACACTCGTTCTCAGACGGAGCACGCTCCACCTCTTGTCTTCGGCTTTTTTGTGTGTTCGGTAGGATTTTCGGGATTGCTTCTAAAGCGTACTGCTTCGAGCGGATCGAAAAAATGTGATTAGAGTCAAAATGTGGCCCTTTTTATACGGGCTAATTGCCCGCGTCGGCGCGCGGCGGTATAACCTCTTCCGAACGGATTTTCGGAAAACGGTACGGTTGGGCCCGTTCGGAGGGATTCGGGTAGGAGCCGAACGCGGGCTTTCGCCGGTCGACGCTTCGGACCACATCGACTCTGTTTGGCGATGCTCGGCCGAATTTTAGTTCGAGCGGTTTTTGGGAGTCTTAAAAAAGGTCGGCGCACCGCGCCCCTGCCTCTGCCCGGCGGGTTTTCTGCCGGGCGGCAGCTTCCGGCGGATGTTATGCCGGGAATCGTAACGATGCACCGGGATGCATCGTTACAGTACTTTGAATAAGAATAGTATAAAATTATGTTATATTTTTTAATTATAAAATTATGTTATATTTTTCAGTCATATGACATCTTCCAAATTATCGTCTACGGATATAAATGCTGAAACTCAACTGTAAGTTTTTTTTATACTATAATAAAAGAGGTATGTATATGTGTATGGTGTGCGTATGTGTTTAATATTTTTAAAATATGATTTTTAAAAATAATTATTAAAATATAATTTATATATTAACATTATTTCACCTCATAATGGTATTTTTCATAATAATTTGATAATTTTTATTATTTAATGTTAATGATACTAAATTATTTAATTTTATAATATAATTTTATAATATTTTTAATTTTTTTACTTTGCAATATAAAGATCTCATGTAATCTATTATTTGTTTATAATATTTGTTCGCGAGTGAGCGCGGATTGCTGCGGCAGCGCAAAGTTTTGAGAACGCGGCAGACGGATGGCCACGAACAGATTAATTTAACGCAAAAGACTTCACACGACACGTAATTTTTTTTTTGATTTTGAGTTTTATTTTATACACCACACAATTAACTAATTTACACAATAAAAATTAATATAAATTTCAGACGCCGAATTGACAAAGAGAAGTTCAAGTGAGAAAGCGGTCGATATATTTGCGGTTATACAAGCGGTTTTTCGAAGCGGTTTTTAGAGTACTGCGAGCAGCGATAAGTGCGAGACTTGGTTTGGTCCACGCGCGGCGCCCGTTATAAAGCGAGGGGATTTTTGGGCCCGCATCGACGTGGACCAATTAATTTGATCTTTTAGCGGTGACACTATTGCGGCGTGTGTCATTGGTTGTTAATGACGTCTCATGTCGGATATACTTTGTTTTCCACGCGCGCAATCCTTTTAGATCAGCTGATTGGCGATCAGCTGATCGTGACGCATGGGCGCGCATGCCCATGAGCGGCGTAAATTTTAACGGCGGTTGACAATAATATTGTCAGCGGTAATAACGAGCGTTTTTTCTGGTGGCAAAAAAGACGAGATAACTCGAGCGTTCGAGTTTTTTTCTAACAAACAGATATTTCGAGAAGATTCTCGACGCCCGTTAATTTTAAATTCTCGATTATTTATTAGCGAAAGCGTGCGAATTTCGCTATGCGATTTTTGAACTCGAATGATCATTTTAATTTTGAACATCCCGCCCGCCTCGTCAGTACGTGACGAAATTTACGAGTGTGTGCGGTTACAAACAGGTGTCGCGAACTGTGCTATTGATGAGATGTGAAATGAGTGATGAATGGAATGTGGAGTGACGTAGTACGAGGCACGTTGTTTAGTTTAATCGAGTCTTTCGCGAGAACATGTGGTGCAGTGAAATGAGGCGTATACTTGTGAATTGTGAATGATCTCGCGAATGTGATGAATCTCAAGTGCTGGTGTGTTAAACAATCGCAAGTGAAGTGCAGTGGTGATTGAACGTGAATGCAGATAGTGACGCGAAGTTCGGAAAAAAAATGAACGAAAAGTTGATTACGCGGTACGATTATCGGACAATGCACGGCTCCGGCCGAGATAAACATTTCAGTGGACGGACAAGTTAGATATAAGAAGAAGAATAAAATAAAAGACGGTGCTCCTTTTCGCTCACGAATCCGGGTGCGTTGGTGCTGCGGTGTCGGCTCCAGGCAGGAGGACGATCTTGGTGAGAGGCCGGACAAGCTCCGAAGATGTGGTGCGTATGGTGACCACGCGTGTCACGCCGTCGTCCCCAGGATGCAGCCGGGTGATCCGGGCGAGTGGCCAGCGGGTCGGCGGTGTTGTGTCCGACCGCACGAGACACAGGGCGCCGACGGTGGGACTGGCTGAGTCCTTCAGCCATTTCGGTCGGGATGCCAAGGAGTTGACGTACTCCCGGGACCACCTCTCCCAAAATTGATCGCGCATCCGTTGGAGGAGTTTCCAGCGGGACAGAAGACTGGAGCTGCCGTCCGCCAGTGAGGGCTCGGGCACTGCCAGCAGAGGAGCTCCGATCAGGAAGTGTCCTGGAGTGAGTGCCGTTACGTCGCCGTGATCGTCCGAAAGTGCTTGAAGAGGACGCGAGTTGAGGCATGCCTCCATTTGAGCGAGGAACGTTGACATCTCCTCGAAGGTGAGGGTCGTGTCTCCGAGGACCCTTCGCAGATGGTGTTTCGTTGACTTCACCGCCGCCTCCCAGAGCCCGCCGAAGTGAGGTGCTGCCGGTGGATTGAATCTCCACCGAATCCCGTCGGACGCTGCAATGTGAGCGATGCGTCGGCCGTCGGATGATGATGCCTGAAACAGGAGTCGAAGCTCTCGGTCCGCTCCGACGAAATTGGTGCCGCAGTCGGAGTAGACTTCCTTGCACAGGCCCCGACGGGAAGTGAAGCGCCGAAACGCAGCGAGGAATGCGTCGGTGGAGTAGTCCGATGCGGTTTCCAGATGGACGGCCTTGGTGGCGAAGCAAATGAAGACGACGATGAATCCCTTGTGCGACTTGTGACCTCTTCCCTTTCCGGTTCGGATGAGAATCGGCCCGGCATAATCAACACCGGTTCGCAGGAATGGACGTGCCGGTGCGACTCGTGCCGTTGGAAGGCTGCTCATCATGGGCTGTGGTACTGCGGCTTTCCATCTCACACACGTGACACATCGGTGGATGGTTCCCTTGACGATGGAGCGTCCTCGGGGAATCCAGTACCGCAGGCGAAGCAGTCCTAGGGTGAGCTGAACCCCGCCGTGAAGCGTTCGTCTGTGGTGTGCCTTGACGAGGAGTTGCGTCATCCACGACTCTGGAGGTAAGATGATCGGATGGCGTTCGTCTTCTGAGAGCACAGCGTGCTTCAGCCGGCCCCCGACTCGAATGATCCCATGGTCGTCGAGGAAGGGGTTTAATTTCGATATTGGATCCTTGACTAACTTTTTATTCTGTTTCAGGGCTGTGATCTCCTTGGAGAAATGGAGAGCTTGCACCAAACGGAGCCAGAGGAGCAAGGCTGCTTCTAGCTCGTCAGGCGTGAGATTGAGGTGAGCCTTCGAACTCGGTGGGTTGCCTCGCCATCGGCACCAGGCGGTGACCCTCAGGAGGCGATGGAGATCGGAGAATCTAAGAAGCATCTCTGGCTCGGCTTTCTCCGTGGTCGTCAAGTGGGAGGCGATTGATCTCGTCTCCGGCACCTCGACGTCGTGTGTGGCGTGGTCGTGCTGTGGCCAGAACGCCGGATCCTTGGCGAGCCATGGGGGCCCCGTCCACCAGAGGGAATGGTTGAGCAGGTCCCGGGGCTCAATTCCTCGAGAGGGTCAGCGGGGTTGTCTCGCCCTGGGATGTGTCGCCATCGTGCCTCCGGAAGTTTCGTCTGGACGTGGGACACCCGGTTGGCCACGAAGGTTTTCCACTTCGAGGCGTGTCCTTGTATCCATTGAAGCGTGACCCGGGAGTCCGACCATAGAGTAACTGGAGCTGAAAACAAGTCTAAGGCTTCGCGGAGATGAAAAGTCAGGTTAGTGACCAAGACTGCAGCGCACAATTCCAAGCGCGGTAGAGACACGGGCTTAATGGGCGCAACTTTGCTTTTTGCAGCAAGCAGGCTGATCGTGGTCGAGGAGGAGCTCACCACGCGGAGGTAAACGCGGCTGCGTAACCTCGCTCGCGTCAGCAAACCCGTGGAGCTCAACGTGATTTGGTTGACTGTCGGCCCTCAGCCATCGTTGCAACTGGAGCTGTTCTAACAGCGGAAGATCCTCAAGCAGACGTCTCCACAACGTCTCATCTGATTGAAGCAGTGGGGAGTCCCAATCTAACTGTTTCATCCATGCTGACTGGATGAGGATTTTTGCACGAGCGGTGACTGGGGCTAACCAGCCTAAGGGGTCGAAGATTCGCGCCGTCTCCGACGCCTGTCGTTTGGTCAGCGGGGCGGTCGTGCGAGGCTGGAGGCGGAATGTGAAGGAGTCGCTGCGGGGGTGCCACCGTAAACCAAGCGTCGGATGCGCTTCGTCCTCTCAGTCGTGGTGTGGCTGCTGAAGTTGGTGCTCCCTTGGTATCTCCTCGAGGATCCTCTGGTGATTTGAGGCCCACTTCCTCAAGGGAAACCCGCCCGCCGTGCAGAATCGGCGTAACTGCCTCTGTTTCTCGACTGCCTCGGACAGGGTGCTGGCGCCTGTGACGATGTCGTCGACATAACAATCGCGCCTCAACGCGACTGCTCTCGTGGGGTTTGCCGGCTCCTCATCGTCGGCTAATTGGCGGAGAGTCCTGATCGCCAGGAAAGGTGCACAGGCCAGTCCGTATGTCACCGTATTGAGTCGATACTCCTGGACGTCATCGGTGCGTTGTCGCCTCCAAAGGATCCGCTGCAGGTCTCGATCGTCGGGATGTACCAGGATCTGCCGGTACATCTTCTCGATGTCAGCGATGAAGGCGAAGCGGTGCCAGCGCCAACGAAGAAGGACGTCGGCGAGAGTTGGCAGAAGATTGGCTCCGACCAGTAGTGTGTTGTTGAGCGAGTCTCCGGCAGGCGTACATTGGGATCCGTTGAAGACTACTCTCAACTTGGTGGTCGTGCTGGAAGTCCGGAGCACTCCGTGATGCGGTAGGTAGTACACGGAATTTTTGATAAGCGGTGTTTTGACCAGGGTCATATATTCCAGGTCCGAGTACTCCTCCATGAAGTTGCCATAGAGCTAGTTGAAGCTGGCGTCTCTGGCACGGCGTCGCTCCATTGCCGTGAGAAGTCGCTCGGCGGACTTTCTCGTGTGATCAAGAGGTGGAAGAGGGCCAGCCAGCGGAAGACGGACCATGTACCTTCCGTCGGCGAGGCGCTCATGAGTGCGAGCGAAGATCTCCTCACATCGCTCTTCGTCTGGCGTGAGCACGACGGAAGCAGGCTGCTCCTGTTCTTGCTCCCAGAACCTCTGCACTAAAGCGTTCAAATCGTGGTCGATGGTGCACTGGAGGGAGCTGAGGGAGTCGTTGGCCGTCACGACTCCGCAGCCTCCTGATAATATCCACCCGAACGTGGTCCTCTGCGCGATGGGTTGGTTCTTGCGCCCCTTACGGAGACCTTCGAGAAGGATCCCGGAGAAGGCATCAGCGCCGAGGAGAAGGTGGATGGGGTCTCGCTGGAGATACTGCGGATCCGCCAGAGTGAGGCCGTGAATGTACGGCCACGTGGTGGAGCCCTGAATTGCTGGCCCCTGGTAGGAAGACAGCCGTGGAAGGACGTAGGCGACTACGGTGAGAAGGGCTCCAGTCACTCTTGACTTGAGAGCGAGCGTCACCCTTCCGCGAGTGGATCCTGAGCATGCTTCTCCGATTCCAATTATGGACATCGAGGAACGGGTGCGTGCCAGACGGACGCGCTGCGCCAAGTCCTCTGAGACGAGGGACACTTCGGATCCCTGGTCGAGCAGGGCTCGCACATCCTGAGGTCGTCCCAGACGGTCGGTGAGTGTGACGCGCGCGGTGGCGAGAAGAGTCGCCTTTTTGTCGAGTGAAGTGCGTGTCGTGGAGAAAGTGCTCGCTTCGTGTGGTGTTGGTGTGGTGTACGCGTCGTGCAATAGCGTGTGGTGCCGCGACTTGCACGTGAAGCACGTTTTGATGGACTGACACCTTGCCATCATGTGGTTCCCGAGACAGTTGAAACAAAGTCCGCTGGCCTCAACGAATGACTTTCTTTCGCTCGCGGACTTGCACTTAAACTCGGGGCACTGCATAAGCGTGTGTTTGCCCTTGCAGGCGGCGCATTTGGACACGTCGGGCCCGTTTTTCGCGAAGTGAGACTTCGCGGTCCGAGAGGCTTCCCCGGCACTCTTCATGGCGATCTTGGGTTTGGCGGCGTTCAAGGTAAGTATCCTTTTACTAATGAAATCAGTGAGTGCCTCGTGAGTCGGCGGATCGGGAGAATCGCTGGTAGAAGACTCCCACTCGAGGCGCGTTCGCGATTCGAACAATTCGATCACCAAGTGATTGAGGAGATCCATCCCGTGGGAATTGATAGGTCTTCCGATGCTTTCTTGCGCGTTAACGGTGGCCGTAACGGCGTGATGGACACGGCTTAGCTCTTCGGCGGACTCGGACTTCATTTTCCCGACGGCAGTGAAGGTAGAGAAATTTGATCGCATGAGCTCTTTTTTATTCTCAAAGTGTTTTGCCAAGATCGCCCACGCGCGGTCGTAATTCTCGCTTGTAACCGTTAGTGATCGGATTAATTTTTCGGCAGATCCCTTCACGCAGGAGCGAAGGTAATGGAACCGTTCAATGTTCGAGACCGACGGATTCTCTCCGACGAGGGATAAGAAGAGGTTCCGGAAGGAAGGTCAGTCTTCGTATGCGCCCGAGAACGGCGGCAATTTTATACGCGGCAACGCGGTTTTGGGAGAAGACTCCGACTTCGGCTCGATTCTGTGTGCGACAACTGCTTTGGCGCTTAGCCTGTCAGCGTAGTCGCTTAACGTGCTCCGCTGAGACACGTACGTACATTCCGCAGTATCTATGAAGTCGTTTTTGGCGTACTCACTCTCCAAGTATCTGTCTTTAAGCGCTGCTCGTATCAGCTCGTGTTGAGCCTCGAATTTCGCCCAGAGGTTGTCGAGGATGGTGAGGCGAGCCTGGATGGCACCGGCGGTGATGTTGGTGACTCCCATCTTGCGGAGGTTATCCACGGAGCGAGACATTCGTCCGTGGATGTCGGTTTGAGCCTCTAACAAGGCCTTCAGGTCGGCACTCATTGTTCACTTATCTGCTTGTCTGTCTGTTCAGGAGACTTGCAGCACTGCACAGCACTGGAAACGTCACCCACGAAACTGCGGATGCGGATATAAAATATCCGGCTCGAAGGACCAGAAATGTTCGCGAGTGAGCGCGGATTGCTGCGGCAGCGCAAAGTTTTGAGAACGCGGCAGACGGATGGCCGCGAACAGATTAATTTAACGCAAAAGACTTCACACGACACGTAATTCTTTTTTTTTATTTTGAGTTTTATTTTATACACCACACAATTAACAAATTTACACAATAAAAATTAACATAAATTTCAGACGCCGAATTGACAAAGAGAAGTTCAAGTGAGAAAGCGGTCGATATATTTGCGGTTATACAAGCGGTTTTTCGAAGCGGTTTTTAGAGTACTGCGAGCAGCGATAAGTGCGAGACTTGGTTTGGTCCACGCGCGGCGCCCGTTATAAAGCGAGCGGATTTTTGGGCCCGCGTCGACGTGGACCAATTAATTTGATCTTTTAGCGGTGACACTATTGCGGCGTGTGTCATTGGTTGTTAATGACGTCTCATGTCGGATATACTCTGTTTTCCACGCGCGCAATCTTTTTAGATCAGCTGATTGGCGATCAGCTGATCGTGACGCATGGGCGCGCATGCCCATGAGCGGCGTAAATTTTAACGGCGGTTGACAATAATATTGTCAGCGGTAATAACGAGCGTTTTTTCTGATGGCAAAAAAGGCGAGATAACTCGAGCGTTCGAGTTTTTTTCTAACAAACAAATATTTCGAGAAGATTCTCGACGCCCGTTAATTTTAAATTCTCGATTATTTATTAGCGAAAGCGTGCGAATTTCGCTATGCGATTTTTGAACTCGAATGATCATTTTAATTTTGAACAATATTCATGTCATGTTTATTTGTAAAACAGTAACTTTTTTTACCAAATTTCCTTTTTTTTGTTTATCTTTAATAAATTCTTTAATAAAATCTTGAATAAATTGGGTATGTTACAGGAGCACGCCTAGTAATGCACATCCTGCAATAAAAATTTCATCGAAGAATAGTCGAGAGAAGAAATTAGAATCAAGAGTTTTGAAATTAAAGAAGCAAAACAAGAAATTGCAATAGACTGTTCGACGATTAAAAAAGAAATTAATGCAGCAGAAGAGGACATCGGCAGAAGAAGAAAGCGACGTAATTATTATTCGCAAATTAGGCAGTAAGTTATTTTCGGGAAATTTTAAAAAATTATTAACTGCTCAGATCGATGCTTTGACAAAAAATAAACATGGAAGAAGATATAATTCAGAAAGAAGATATAATTTTAAAAAGTTTGTGTTATCAGTTGTGACGTGACACTTGGCGGTCCGTCACAAGGATCGCGAGATGTGGCCGGTATTATATTTGGGCCCTCGTTCTCCCCTGATTTAGGGAGAGAGAGAGCGAATATTGGAGGCAAGGGTAGGCTCGCTTTTCTTTTTGCGTTAATTATTGTATTTAGAGTTGCGTTAATTAGAGTAGATTTAAGCATGCGTGAGGGAGGACGTGACGAGATCTCATCCGGTGATTCGACCCGGCAAAGAAGACCAGATTAGAAGACGCGCGGGACGAGCGGAGGCGCCGACTATAAGGAGAACGCTGAGATAAGTATCCGTATCAGCCGTATAAATTAAAGCATCCATCTAAGCATACCGCTGCCGCTCCTGTACATTCCCTTATGCCCAGCAGGTACGAGGGACAATCACGGGGAAAGCCGGCCGATAATTAAAAGCGAACAACGGAACCCCCGAAACGGAGCCAGCCCAGCCGAAATAAGCGCTACAGGACACCGATAAAGAAAATGCGAGTGGCTGCCGGAAAAATCCTCACCAGGCTGAGACTAAGAAGAACCAAGAAAATCGGGACCAAGCAACAAGGAAGCGACAGGCGTAAATGCGGCCCTGGAGGCCGCAAGAGCGATAAGAATTCGCGCCGATCCTGAGGGTTGCGGAAGCGCCACGGGTGGCCTAGATAAGAATTAATTGCCGGCACGATTCCGAAGGGCCTCCCGCTCGTCACTGTTCGGCGGACCGCTGTACGAGAACGACGGTCCAGATTTATCGAGTGATCTATTTTCCGTGTGGATGCCGAGGGAGCGAAGGACGTTCAGGAGTCGCCGGTGAGACAAGCGTCAACCTTCTCAGGCCGTTTATCGTGAATAATCAGATAGAATTAGCTCGAATAGAGTCCACGCCGAATTGCTGCCGTCGAAATTTCATTATTCGAGATTACTCCGAGTTTCGATAATGGCGCAGTAGCCTACGACGGCCGGACGATATACTTTATTCGAGCTACGATCATATTGAGTGTCCTCTCTCCCGGTTAAAGCGCCGACAGTCAAATTCATTGTATTTTCTCATGCGATTATTGTGCATGCAAAATTTTGTAGAAAGTAGTTAGTCCTACAACGAACTCACACACGAAGGCGATCGCGATAATTAATAGTCGGCAACTGCGTTGCGACATTAACTCGCGTATCCTCGCGACGTGAATCGTTCGACCTTTATTGTAATTTATGGTTTACGTTTTTGAAAATTCTATTCCCGTTAAGTTTTCGCGCATATATTCGATCGTCTATCTTGTATAATTGTCGAGTCGTTTTGCTCTTCCGTTATTACCATAATTTTATATCTTGGTCTGATCGACTCGCGTGTATAATCGATTCTACTAACATCGCGCTCGACGACGTTAACGACCGTCATTATTTAACATTTTCGGTTTATAACAGGCAGATATCATTATTAGAAGCATCATCGCGTTACTTAATATTAATAATCCGAGTGGAATTTGCAGCCGGCGAGGCCCTGTGACGCCTAGACGCAACATTCCGAAATTTTCTTACGCCGTTTTTTTTGGCATAACACGTGATACCGCGGTGATCGCATTCGAACGCCGGCCGTCGCTGCCGGAAAATTTTACTATAATCAGTTGTAACTTCTCGAGTAATACTCACGCGAATCTGTCTCGTCAAAAATTTGTCTATTTGTTAAATACATTCTACTTTACTATTATAATCTTTTGTTTCAATTGCAGCAACCTTGTACTCTCGATCCTTCCTTGTTGTTCATTAAACGGACCGCCCCCTCTGCCATTCTTTTGAGAAGGGGCTAGTCGAGCGTCCGTCACGATTGTTTGAATAGAGTTTCCCGTGTTTTTATCGTAATCAGATTGAGATATCGAGCTACATTTTTCTTAAAGTGGTGCGGATTACCGCACCTGGCGCCCACAACTTTTGGAGGAAAAATTGGATAGAGAATCGCGCCGAAGGTGTCCCGTGGGCCAACAACTCCGGCCAGATCTACATACCAGCCCTAATTAATTAAAGTCACGGTCACACTTTATATTTTTGCAGTCCACGCAATTATAAAAACTTAATAAAAGAATTTGCTTTGCCTTCGGTGCGCTCGCTTCAATTATTCACTAATTCCTGGAATATTATACCGGGTATTAATAATAAAATTTTTGACGCTTTAACTTTAAAATTAAAATCACTTGCATCTATTGAAAAACATTGTATATTATGCGTAGATGAAATGAGTTTAAAGGCTCATTTATTTTACAATGTATCGCGGGATGAAATAATAGGTTTCGAAGATACGGATTATGAGAAATTATCTAAACCCGCAAAAAGTGCACTAGTTGTAATAGCACGAAGTATAGCAGGAAATTGGAAAATTCCTGTTTGTTATTGTTTTATAGAAACAACATGTCGAAGCAATGTTTTGAGAGATATATTATTTAATATTATAATAAAATTGCGAAGTTGTGGTGCTATAGTGCATGCATTAGTGACAGATATGGGGTCTAATTTTATGCAGCTATCTCGAGAATTGGGCATTTCGACACAAAATTCTACCTTTTTAGTAAATGAAGAGAAAATATTTTATATTTTTGATACTCCTCACTTAATTAAAGCGACGCGTAACAATTTATTAAAATATGATTTTAAATTTAATAATAAAACAGCATTATGGGTTCATATTGTAGAATTTTACAAAAGAGACTCTAAACAATGGATGAAAATGGTCCCTAAATTATCTAAATATCATATTGAACCGAATAATTTTCAAAGAATGAAGGTAAAATATGCTGTCCAAGTATTCAGTAATCGAGTAGCTACTGGCATGTGCACACAAATGTCTTGCGATTTTCTTCCAAGTGAAGCAGTTGGCACTATAGATTTAATAGATCATTTCGATAAATTATTTGACATACTAAATTCCTCAACTGTAAATAGTCCAAAAGAGTATGGAAAAGTTTTTACTGGAAATAAAAAACAAATTAAATATTTAGAAGAAATGCTATTTTTCTTAGAACATATTAATG